GATTTTTCCTTAAAAAATGCAACAAAATTATCTCCGAGCTCTTTGCCATCTATTTATCTTTAGGTATAATAATTAATGAAATTAACAGTAACCATATTTTAATTCCTACTCAGCCCTCAAGCTAATAGAAAACTTTAAATTATGTAACAAACCCATTGTCTTCTAAATCACACAAATCATTCAACTAACAAAGAAAACCACAAAATTTCTGTAGTTTCGCAGTCATACAGGAATACCAGGCAATGAACTGGCTAATATAGTCGCAAAAGAAGCATCCATCATACTTCCAGCAACAGAGACTAACATAGTGCTCTACGATTTCAATAACTCAGTTTTGAACCACTGTAGAGAGGCCTGGCGATATTGTTGGATAAAGGTTCCTGGTACCAACAAAATGAAAATAATTTTTGATAACATGAATCCACTTCCACAGATGCAAGGAAACCGACGGGAGCAAACTTATCATAAGCCTCAAAATAGGGCACACCAGGCTCAAGCATAGGCGCATACTTGACGGTAGTTTGCCACCAAGATGTCGCAGCTACAATACAGCTTTAACAATGGTACACAATTTAGAAAATTGTCCAAGCTTGGATCCATCAAGGATTTCGTACCGCCTACTTGGATATCAACAAACCCTACAACCTGAAAATCGGAAGCACTTATTTCAATTTCTGAAAAAACACAATTACTAGACATATTTAAACGATATAATTTCCATACACTCACAACGTAAATCAGAAATAACCTATGTAGCTGTAACAACACGTTCTTTAAACAAATATCCTAACAACATACACATCTAAAAAAAACCTGGTGCGCGCAACACACAACTTTCACTTACCGCTCAACTTTGAATAGAAATTGTTTTCTGGCCATGTTGGGATATTATAAAATTTTTGAATTGCATTTTTAACCGAGCTAGCTAAAGCTTAAAAAAATACAGCTAACAAATCAAATACCATTAAAACAACAAAAGTCCTATTTACTATATCACTGGTTGATTATGGATTGTATGACTATTAGTTATTTAACTGTTATTTTCCATTGCAAAGTTTACTAAAACGGAATTAAGAGATTTGCATTGCCTGTCATAAACAGGTCAAAAGTTGTCACACTAATTGTACGTGGATACAGTTGGAATAATACAAAAGGAAATTTCATCAAATTATTCACTAATTTAATTTTCTAAAAGGTTACATGATGATTTTTTGGAATCAACTGAATATAGATACCTAAATATTTAAATATATTTAAGGTTATAAACATATCTATGAAATATTTTTTAACACAAGTCCAATGAAATAGTAGTGAATACTGTTGGAATATCACAAAGGGAAGATTCATCAAATTATTCACTAATTTAACTTTCTAAAAAGTTACATGACAATTTTTCGGAATAAACGTTGATACCTAATTATTTAAATATAATATCAGATCTATAATCACTTAACTACAGTAAATGTATTTAAGGTTATGAACATATGCTTTATAAATCCATGAAATGATTTTATATTTTACTTCTTCTTTCACACAAGTACAATGAAATAGTTTTTTTAACAATACCATTGCCTTGATTAGGTGGATTTTAAATACTTTCTACAAATGTAAAATTTCTTTTTAAAGTTTACATATAGTCAGTAAATTTCATTTAATTTCCTTGAAAACATATGATTTACGTTAAATATTATCAATTTTCAAAAATTATTATTTATAATTTTTTTTGCTCTCCGTTACCTTCTGCAACTTTCTATATTATATATTGTTTTTTCTAAAATTCTCCGCTTTCCAAAGATATATTATACGTATACAATCTGACTATTTCCGGAGATTCATTTTCGACCTGGAAAAGTGTTTTTATTTGTTTCTCCTTTATTCAATAACCAAATTCTTTCAAACGTTATATTTAACATTTTTTCGTAACTTTTAATAATGATTGTTTAATCATTAATAATGATTGATAGTTGCTTATTTAAAATAAACCATACTAAAAGTACTTTAGATGAAAACGCATATGAACATAGGGCATTTAAGCCCTGTAAAGTGCCATCAACGGGGATAAGACCTAAATGATATTAAAGACCAGTTAATTATACAATGATACACTGAGCTTAATCAAAATAGTTAGAGCCGTTTTTGAGAAAAATGTGTTTCAGCGTTGATATAAAGTGGCACTTCCGGTTAGCCGATTTTAAGGAAAAAGTTGCCAGGACATCTAAAGCATATATCTATCTTAAATATGTAATATCAGTTTTGTATGACTTTTCGGTTTCAAGTTAAAGTGTTCACATACACACAGACCATTTTTCAGTTCAGGGCTTGGTTATTTGGACTCAGGGGACCTCAAAACGCGTATTTCCGTTGAAAACTCAGATTAAAATATTTTCATGATCCCAATACTTACACGTACTATATATTACATATAAAGGTAAGTGAAAGTAAAAATACAACACGATCCCTACAGACGTATTGAAATGTAATTCTATAATCAATAAGGTGCTTCTAACCTATATAGTGATGAATCTAAAATACTTTTCTTAATAGTGATCAATTATTTTAAAATATTTAAGAATAATTTTTGTTTTAATTAACTTGTTAATGCTCAAAATCTCGTTGACATGATTCATTACTGGATTGTCTCTGCCTTCTCTTCCAGGCTATAACATTTTGCTGAGATTTTGAAAAGCATGTCAAATTTGACTTGAAGAACATGCTGCTTTTGTCATACAACAAGAATGAGCAATAACAATGGCAGTGGGACAACTTCTCCGTATGTATACAATGTTTCTAAGGATTGGAAGATTCTAGGCAAGATCTTTGAAGTTTTGACTTAAAAGATGGATTAAATACCTCCTAAATAATAAATAGTAATCATAAGGAAAATATTGACACTTTAACCACTTTTCAGTTGAAAGTGATAATCTTCACCTTATCTAAACAAAGAGTTAACATTTCTGTTAATAATGCCCCTTTTAATCTCTCAGTAGCATAAAAACCTGTACCACTACAATCCATGATAGACCGGGAGTCTGTGGCAAACACTTAGCTTTTCATTTTACGAAAAAGCCATGGTAAAAAGAAAGTTGTTAAGCATTAAACTATCTTTGAGAATATATATTACTCTACTATCTATTTTCAACCATTCAAAAGCTAGAGCAATTATAACTTTATGTTTAAATTCTGATATTATGCAGAAAAAGTTAAATTTCGTAATTAAACAGCTCTTAAACTTTATTTAACTCAAATAAGGCAATGTAAACTTATATAATGATTAATAGCTGTTTAATAACGAAATTACGAACTTTAACTTTTTCTGCATAATATCAGAATTTAAACAATAAGTTACAATGGCTCTAGGTTTTGAATAGTTGAAGATAGATAGTAAAGTACTATACATTCTTAAAGATAATTTAATGATAAACAACTTTTTTCCCCATGAATTTTTTTAAAAATGAAACGTAAAAGTGTTAGCGAGTGAATCAAATAATGATAAAAATGCGAGGCAAACAACAATTTTTTTTTTAAAGTTAACGAATTACGACGACAGATATTTCGGAAGTTATAAAAGACTGCGAAAAAATGAATATAACCATTTTTGTTGAAAATTTTGTAAGCTTTAATTTTACATAGCACATTATTATCACTAAAATGCATAGATTTTAATTTACTGCTATAAACGAAAAAGGGAAAAAGTTTGAAAAAATTTTTGAATCATAAATTCAAATTTTTAACTTTAAATCCATGGATTAACAGATTATTATTTCATGTCTTAAAACAGTAAATACTATAATTTTAAAGGCTTGGTAGTTTTCTATATCTATAAGCCATCTCTATCTATCTTTACCTGTCCGGTATTTTGTATTACAGCGTGCATTTTTTTCATCAGGTCTGCGGACAATCAATTTATAAGGACAAACCTTAGTATGAAATAAGACATCTTTTTTGCCACAGACTCCCAGACTATGAAGGGTCTTGGGTTCTGTTGTGCAAGCAGGTGATTTGACCGAGACCACACTCAACTGCCAAGTTTTCCTCCTTGATCGATTAATTTAATGTAATTTAACTTAAGGGTACCCACTTTATAAAGGTTGGATGTGCCACAGGAGGGTCTCCTGACTCCAGAAACAAACCAGAATAAATAAATTATCTACCACCAGCCGGACTCGAAACTTGGACCTTGAGCATTGGAAGTCAGCCCCCTACCACTGAGCTATTCCATTCCTCTTCAGTGTCATAAAAACTATTTAATTTCAGGATTGATAAAACAAAGCAAAAGTAGAGTAAGGAAAATCATTATATTACCAATAAGATATCAGATTTATGAGAATGAATGATGAGATAGCTAACTGATGGCAAGTGGATTTTGATCAACAGGCTTATAGATTAAAAATTGGACCATTCATCAAACCAAGATAATTAAAATTCTACAGACTGTTTTAATTTAGGTATATTAAAAATCGAGAGTTATAAGCAATGCAAAAAATGGCTGAAAAGTACAACTATAGGTGCCCTGAACTATACATAGAATTTATGGAAAATATTAAAAAAATTTAAAGACCTAATGAAGGGACAATTTTTAAAGAGCAGCAACATACTTGGTAAAAGAAAAGAAGTTAATTCAGTAAGATAAAATAGATAGTATGTATATAAAAGAATAAAGATCATAGTGTTACTTTGTGAATGAGAACACCAAGATTACATTGAAAACAAGGTGTTCACATTAAGAAAATGTAGAAAATAAAGATTTATCAAGATGACAATTTACAAGATTAAACATTAAATGGACATATAATTTTTAAGTTTAAAAATTAATGATAAATAACAACACAGTTAAATCTTAATTTAATAGACAGTAAACAGAATAGATTATTTAAAACTACAATCACAAGATTAAAACACATAAATAACAAATATACATTATACTACAAAAAATCTATTGCATCCAAAGAGGTAAAGATGTGTAAAATGCAAACAGATAAATATAGTAAAGATTTACTTACTTGACAATAGTTTTGTTGGCAACATTACTAATATTTTGTTTTAAAGGAGTCCTGCGATAAGGGTGTGGCCTGTTATTTGAACGATTCGGAACAGCTTTAATGGGAACAAAAAAAAATTAATTAGTATTTAAAATAAAGTTGTAGGCTTAAATGAAGGTTAGTAGCATCTGCAATATATAATTATCATCCAGTTGGAATATCTAATATATTTAAATTTTAAAAATAAACATAAATATTTATGGCATAAAAAAGTTGGACAGACTAGGTATAGCTAGTGCTATTGGTAGGGAGAATCTAATACAGTGAGGTTGATACCATTTTTAGAGTGGATGAGCCAAGATTTCACATCAAAGGGCCACCAAATTTGCCAAATAGTTAATATTAAGTCGACACATCTCAGAGAACTGAACCCACAAATAAATAAAATAACCCATGACCTACAAAACTCCATTGAACACCAAAACCTTACCATCCTCATCCTTGTTGATTTTTCCAAAGCGTTCGACACAGTTGACCATAACATCCTCCTTACGAAATTGCACAATCGTCCTCTATCCAACAGTGCCCTGTGTTGGTTCAAATTCTTCCTTTCAAATCGGTCCCAGTATATAGTCGTCCCAGGTCAACTTCCATCTAAGACCCTCTCCCTCTCCTGTGGTGTCCCTAAAGGTTCCTCTCTGTCTCCTTATCTGTTTGCTATTTACATTAATGACCTTGTCCTCCTGATCGGTCACTCTCCACACCATATCTATGCAGATGATTTCCAAATATACGTGTCCTTCCCACCCTCCGACCTATCATCAGCCACAGAAAAACTTCAAGAAGACTTGGATAAGATTTATGACTGGGCGAGAGCCAACAAGTTGAATTTGAATGCGGAAAAGACAAAGGCAATCTTAATTGGCTCTATTCCTACATGATAATCCCATCAAATTTTATTCCTCAATCAAAAAGCTTAGAATAACCCTTGATCAAACGCTTTCCTGAAAAACCATGTATCCAACATCTCCTGCCATACCATTTCCACCTTAAAACGCCTAAACTACTTCCATCATCTATTTCTCTTGAAACCCGTAGGCTCCTGGTCACTTATTTAATTTTTTATAGGATCTTGAGGCGAAACTAAAACGTTTGATAAATGGCTTTGTACGATTTATCTTCAGGATCCCAAGGGACGCCTTTGTTTCCCGTTTTTATGTAGAGTTGAAGTGGTATATCCTTCCTACCGTCGCAAGTAATTCCTGACATCCTTCCTCTTTCAAGTCATCCAATCCGACCGACCTTTATACATCTCCGAGCTCCTCCAATTCAAATCCTCAGTTCGCTCCCACAATACTCGTTCCAGGTCTTCTGATTTATACATTAGGGCCCAACAAACCGCTGCTTTCAACAGATCGTTCATTATTCGATCATCATTCCTCTAGAACTCCATCCCTTTCCACATCTGTCAATCCAATACCCTTCCTACCTTTAAATCCCACCTGTTCAATCATTTCTTATCCATCCAGTCTCCATATAGATACCACTGTAAATATGTATATAAATTATTAGATTTTTCTTCATTATTTCTACTTTATTTTCAATTTTTTATTATTAACTTATTTAAGTTAGAAAGTAACTTATAATTTTTTATTATGACTATTTAATTACTCAGCATTTTTTTTTATGTATCTCTGAGGTTCCTTAGCCCACATTTCTGTCTTATATTATTCTAAAGGGATTCGTCCCAGAATAAATAAAGTATTACTGTTTTTGGATTTCACACTTTCTTGGCTTTAGCCAGAAATAGTCACATATCCGGACCAAGGTCAAGGGTTAGGCTCAAAAGTTAATAATAATTATTATTATTTCCATTATTTATCCTCGCTTTGCCATTGGAAGACCAGAAGTAAAGCCACCTTCATATTAATATTTATCATTTTTTTAGACGTTAAAAATTTTTCTAATAATACAGAATCATCATAATAACAATCATCATCATAACAATCATTCAGTTATTAGATATGAATTATAAAAATGGAAAATCAAAACATGTTTAACATAGTATTATGAAAAAAAAACATATAAATAAAAAATAATAAAACCTGAACCACTACAACCTATGGAGGGCCTGAGGTTCAATACTTTGTATGGCAGTACTGTTTCTTGATCAACAGCAATGATTATACAAGGAGGTGGCTTGGTCGAGATCATACTCAACCACAGAGTTTTTCCGCTGAATGAATCATTTAATTAAGAGTATCCAATTTACAGAGGCTGAGAGCGCCCAAGGAGGGTCTCCTGATACTAGAGTCGATCCATGGCTCACATAAAAGAATAAATAATTATCTGCTATAGTCATAGAAGCACACTGAGATATCCTTAATATCTCTTAATAAATTTATTTAATTATTTATTTAATTCTTTGATTTCAGGACATCCTCAACATTGATTAAAAAACTGTAAAATGATTTTCTGTAAATACGAATATAAATTATTAGTTTGTTTTTAATTATTATTATTTCATGTTTCTTGATCACTTTTTAACATGTATAAACGTTAGAATTTAACTTATAATTTATTACTATTTCTGTTCGTTTATCGATAGTAAGGCTCACAAAGAGTTGAACTATTTGCCTACTTAGGAACCATCACTAGTAGGATTGGTAAAGTAGATGAAGAAACTGGAAATAGAATTAACAAGTCAAACCTAATATATTACCGGATCAGAAATAACTTAATTAGTCACTAGGAAGTAGGGAAAGAAACAAAGTTTCAAATTTAATAGGCAGTTCCTCTAAAAATTCTAAAATATGGAAGTTGTGTCATCAGTGGAATCATATGAGCAGAAATGGAAAATCTGTACTGCAAAGTAGTCTCCAAAATGAGGAGAGATCGAGTATAAAATCAGAACATAAGGGATTTACTGCAAGTGTCTGAACTAATGACCTCCCTCTAAAAGCAACAACTTAAGTGGTTGTACCATGGTTTTGACATGTATAAGGAACAGGAACCTAAAAACGTTATGAAAGCATGCTTGATGGACAGAAGGTCCTGAGGACTCACAAGAATTTCCTATGAGGACTGCAGAGAATAAGAGCAAATAAAGAGAAAATTTTTGCTTGAATGAAAAGAATGTGTTAGGACTAGATGGACTAACTTTGTTCAAACAGCTGATAGATCTATTAGATAAATAATACTACTTAATTAACTTTATCTTAACTTACCTCAAATCATCAGTGAGAATCTCACCATTGATCTATTTTTTCTTATTCTTAAGTTTAATAAAAACAAAACAAACACATTAACAGAACATAGTTTCCATGAAATAAATAAAAGTAATAGTAATACCAAAAGGGCAAAGTGAATAATGCATATCCCAATTTTTAAAATAGAAACTATACATGAAATATTAATATGTTTCAAAACATTCAAAAACTAGAAAATACTCATGAATCGTTGTGCATATGATAAGTGAGAAAAGCATTTTACTATTGTCAAGCATACTAAAAAACTATTCTAGTTTCCCTCTTTTCACACCATTACATGGGTCTTCAAGAAAGAACATTCTATCTGTTTCAGTACACTACTTTAAAAATCTTTAGTACTTCATTGAATAATGAAGATGAAAATATTTATATAATATTATTAAAATTGTACAAAACTACTACATTATTACATTAGAATGAGAATATAATTTTTTATATATAAAAATTATATAGAATTAAAAATGTAATAGATGGATAACAAATTAATGAAGAATGAAACAAGAAAATCAATCAAACATAAAAGAAAGCACAAATTATGATATACTGAAAAAATGAAATTTTCCTAATTCAACTCATTATACAAATAAATATGAAATATTATAATAGTAATTATTCATTAAATGAAATTATTCCACAGATAATGAACTTCAATAAGTCTGGAAATCAGCCTTGTGCCAAATATAATAATGTCTTAATATGTTAAAAGCCATGAATGGGCTATCATTGAATTCAGAATTTTAGGGACCATTAATGGAATCACATTCTTAAATTTTTGTTGTTTTTGTCAAAAATAAAATAATTCTATCCCAATATTGTACAATAAAAGTTTCAAAATCGCAACAATGGTAAGTTGTCGATTAAAAATGGAACAAATTGGGTTTTGATGAAGACATTAAGATCCCATGGAAAGTATTGAGCTATTTTTTTTAAAGCTCTAAAACCGATTGTTTCCAAGATAATGTACGATAAAGGAGGGATTATATCAATAGTCACTATTAGAAGAATATCACTATGTCCATTAGAAGAAGTGATCCACTTCTCTTGTGACAGGGTCCTTCTAGGAACAACTTAAAGAGGGTTTGTTTCCTTGTCTATTCCCAATAGTCTAATTTTATTTTTGCCAACAACAATTCTTTTTGGCTCGGCTGAGGCTAATCCTTTAGATGGCCCCTGGTGCAACTGGCACTTGTGCAGAGCCATTCCTGGTAAAGCAATCAACTTTCTCATTGCCTGGGATGCCTGAGTATCCAGGCACCCATTCAATCCTCATCTTGTTGGTACTACAGAGAAAGTTCAGATTGTCTTTACAATCAGCTATAAACTATTTTTTGTCCTCCCCTTCCTCGCCTTTTATGCTATACAGGGTTTTTCCAGGTCAGGAGGTGAGGGAAGGAAATTTTAAAATCCCTTCCAGCACCGGGACTTAAACTTGTTCTTTTTTAATCTCTCATAACTATGGTTACCTGGTTCCCGGGCAACTCGTGGTGTTGTGCACACACTATTCGGCCACCCTCCCACAGCTCATCTAACAACTTGGAGTGGAGACATTGCATACTATTCAGGGCACCAATTGCAGTTGACTACCCGTATATATTGTAATCAATCTGTTCGTATTCCCCTCTCTAGTTAGCGAATGAGCATAGAAGTCAATAGTTATAATCTCGGCCTAGAAGACGGTCTACCTGGAGATATGAATATTGTACTCACAGGCTTTTGCAGTGTGGCTGTCAATATACAGAGTGTCCCCTAAAGATACTATTTCACTGACGCTGCTCACGACAGCGACCGCTATCACTATACGCTGCCAACCGCTGTTGTGAAGCTATTCCGCTGAAACTGCCTATAACCTTCGAACATTTCATTCTATCTTCGAAAATAAAAAAATGGACTTACTATCTCTAACTACCGCTTTTTTATTCTTTTATATTTTTTAAACAAATATTTTTTAAGTTATCGCTTTCAATTCAACAAAAAACGTGACTCGCATACAAAACACAAATCTTAAATTTTCTACTTTTCTGCTGGATATTCGGCAATTGTTTATAGATCTTGATATCTATTATCAATCTTTTAAATATTTTTCTCTACTTACGGGTCACTGTGTATAATCTTTTCCACACATGACACTCAAATAATGTTAAAATATTTAACAGCATTTTAGTGATAAACATAAATTTACACCAGAGAAAAACTGACTAAAGATAGATTCAGCTTCTCTCCAATAACCAAATTGGTCCCAGCAAGTACAAAACTGGCTTAGTATAAGCTTATAGATAGTCCTATTGGATTACTGTTAAACTAAAGGCATATTTTACAGCAGGACAAGCTAATTGTTTACTAAGCAAAATTTTCCTTCATATTGAAAAGTCTCTCTGGACAATTTTACAACATTTTTACAAACAAACATGTTTCTCTAACATCATTTTTACATACTTTGAATGTATTAAAAAAAAGGATTATTAAAATCTAAAAATTTACTTTACTAATTTACTATGATGAGTAATTAATTTTACAATTGGGTACTTGCAAGATTTCTAAGTCGATGAATATTATGTTATAAAAAATAACCCCTGAATCCAGCCATTATTGGTCCTAACAATTTATGTGATTTGTTTATAAATATCTCTTGCCATTAATTATATTTTAACATCAATAGAAACCATGAGTTCAATAAAGAACAATTAGTGGCTTGTTACACTATTTAATTTTTTTTTAATTTAGAAAACAGCAAATGCTTTAGAAACTATTAATTATTAATTCATAATCAGATTAAATTTTTGTTTAACAGTTCACGCTTTTCTTCTTGAATAATCTTATTTCTTATAGGTATACAATGTCCACTATTGTTATTCCACCATTATTTATTAAAGAGTGGTTGGGCTTCTGATTTTTTTTTTGGGGGGGGGACATTAAATTTTTTATTAAGTAATTAACTTGGGCTGGAATGACAGGCATATAAATATCACATCCTTGATGATTCTATAACAACTAATGTCTCGACTGACATCTCTAAAAAAAAATCTCTATTTATGACTAACATCTGGACTATTGAATATTTTGAAAACTAATTACTGATTTAGCAAAAAGTTATTAAGACGAACACATAGTGGTGAGTAGTAACAACAAACATACTATAAACACCTTATCACATTAAATTTGAACAATAAACAAACAGCACTGTCAGTACAAACATAATAAATAAAATAAAATTAGATGTACCAACCTGGGGTTTTTAGTTTTACAGCTGTAGATATTAATGGTGTCCTTCTTATTATATTTTCCTTATTGTTAGAGGGAACTGGAGTCTTTATATTGAAATTGACTCTTGGATTTGTCGGTTTCAATATGAATTTTGGTTCTAAAGAATAAAAATATATTTAAACATCTTTTAAAAAATTCTTAATCTTACAATTAAACTATCTATATATCTTAAATCATAAACTAAATAAACAAAAAATACTGTTTCCAAGATATATAGGGTCACAAATGTTAATGGTAACTAGTATTATTCACGCTCAATGATCTGAAACAAGCACACTATGGATTTTTAATACAGTCAACCTGGTACATTAAAAATAAATAATGCTTTGAAGCAACCATATAGTCTATATTGATAGCATGTGAAGATCAGTAAACAATGTAATGTTGTTACCTTATCTAGCTTTTATTGTCATTGATATTATATTACTCCAATAGCATAAATAAATGGCATTAATAAGAGTGAACCAACAATTTCTACTTCGTTTAGTATTTATAATGCAACTATATTTGTTAATGTAAAATTTGATTTCTGTCTCAATGAAAATTTTAATTTTATTTACATATTAAAACATTGCAAATTATTACACAGTGGTTTATTATTTCCAAACAATTATACATCAAAAGTAAAATTATTTTGGTGTAACATAAAGGAAATTAAATAAAAGGTTATTCCTAATTTTGGCCTGCATAATTTTTTTTTTCATCATTAGTAATTTACTAAGGAAAATAGACAACATTTCTTCAGTTGTAACAATTTAAAAAAATCAAAAACTAAAACAAAGGATATAAACTTTGCAGTAGAACATATGAAAAATAATTAGAACATCATATCTGTGCACTAAACTCTGATTTCAACAATTTTTGTTTAATTTTTTAGAAAATTTAAACTTTTATATTTTCTTAAACTTTTAAAAAACCATCAACAAAAAAGTGTACATTTTTTTAGTTATTCAGAAATGTAATTTTACCACCCTTCATAACTTTTTGCAATTTCTTTTCGTTGTAGTGAGTTATATAGATAAATTAAAAGGGTTTCGAGGAAAACTTTAACAGAGTTTCATTAACATTGGTATATCCGTTAAGGTGCTACAGTCCAGTCTCTACAGGTCTTTCAGCCGCCATCTTTAAAGGGAAAGACTTTTTGGGTGAAATATATACATATTGTAATATATAGCTTAATTGGAAGTTGTTTGGCTGCAGTGAAGAGAGGATAGGAGAAGGGATCCTGGTTCCAGTGGGTAAAACCCAGTAATAGTATTACCATCTTGAAAGTAGTTGTTTGGAATTACAAGAGAGAGGATCTCCCAGGGAGGGAGCTTCAGTTGAGTAGAAGAAAGTATTACCATTTTAAAAGTTGTGTTTTGGCAGAAGATTGGAAAGCATTTGAAGACAAATGAATTTAGTGTGACAAAGGAAAACACAGATTATATAGAAAAAATCTGGTGTGTCCACTCTCACACAACTTTCCTGGCTATTTCAGAAAAGTTTTTATATCTTTACATAAGACCATCAAGAAACAAAAACAAATTGAATTAGATTTATTTGCCTGAAAATTGATCATAGAAAAGATTTGAGTACGATTTATTCAATAAACCAAAGCAATGTAAACAGGCTTAAAGTAGATCAGTGTAAAAATTGCAATACCCTTTAATATTGCTGATTCTGTTAAAAGTAGAGAAAATAGTGAAAGTTGCGTGATGCGGGCAACAGATTTTCTTACTTCACTTAGCTTTTTTTTATCATTCATCCCTTCCTGACACCAAGAAATGAACCCGTAATTTTACATTGGAAATTGAATAGCTGTACTGTAGTAACTCCGTTAATAGTTGTCTGAAATGAACGACTTTTATAGTTTTGTAGGGAATTTCCTTAACTTAAAAAAAAAAGATTAAAAATGTGTTTTTCGAAATCAGGGGGGTCTGAAACGTATAGATCTGTCAAAAAATCGCATATTTGAAATTTGATCCAATAACAATACTTTCCTTACTTAATATAGCTAGGAAAGTAATCAATTAAAATAGAAAATAGAATATGCTGTATCATCGCTAATACTGGTTCAATTCCAATGAGTTTTTTTTTTTTTTTTTGTTTTGTTAGTAATTCAATTACCTTTCAAAAGTTTTATTATAAATTTTACCATAGAATATATACTTAGGAAGTTAGGCCCAAACAAATTTTTTCTTTTCTTTATATTTTTTTTCCTGAATTTTCTCGGAAAGTTAGTCCATATACAAAAATTGAAAGGACAATTATTAGAACATTATAGGAAAGTTTCATCAAAATCATTAGAGCCGTTTTAGCGCTACAGTCTGTAGAAAAACATGTTTTTCATTTATTGCACATGGAGCATCCAATTTGTGTCACTGGCATCAGTAGTCAAAACACTACAAAATAAAAAAAGAAGCAACAAAATCGGTTCAGTAGTTCCCGAGAAATTCTTGGCACAGACAAACCAATGGCTAAAAAATGTGTTTTTTTGAAATCGGGGAGCTCTGAAACGTATAGATCCGCCAATAACCGCATATCGGAAATTTGACCCGATTGCAATACTTTCCTTAACTAGTATAGGTAGGAAAGTTAAAAGGTTAGCTTGCCAATTCATACTTGACTTCATTTTAAAATCAGTGTTTAATTTTAGTATATATAATAGTTTGAGTGTTTTGATGTGATTGACAGTAACCCATAGCTGAGATAAATCTCAATTTAATATATTACTACTATTATAATTTTGTTTATTATTTAGGAAGTATCCCAACAGTAAATAGCGATCTTTTGAGGTTATATTATTATTTGTAAAATATAACCTAGTATCCAAACCAGTAGTCTCAGAGAAAAGCCACGGATGGCGGATGGACAACATTTTTTTTTATTCAATTTTTACATATCCCGAAACAAAAAATCTCAAAATTTGAGGGAGGATTAAGGTTTTTGAATTTTTTTGTCGATTAAAATGGTTCATTATTGAAAATAATAATCCAAAAAGCACAATAATTTTCTTGCAATGCTAAAAACTGGAGGGAACTCATGGGTCGTAACAATCAACTAATGATATACATCTGTAATACAGTGCACTGTTTTAGATGACACTTGTCTAGATTCTCATTATTCATTTTTATAAAGCTTAGAAGCACAGATAAGATTATGAAATAATTGCTAAATTATAATTTTATACATATATGTTACTGTTACATTCTAAAGAAATTATAACAATTTTATCAATATGAATAGTTTCTATAAAGTAGGATTAGAGGTTAGTATTAAACACAAGATTGTCCAAACTAAGTCTGGTATAGTGTTGTTTGAAGTTTTGTTTGTGATTAGTTTTTATTACTTTAAATTTACTTAGTTTTAGATAATCAGTTTCTACACTATCAAAGAAACTTTGACAAAGGTGTCACCTTTGAGTACAGGTGTCATGAAGTAACTATATTTATTTTATGTTTTTTTCATAAAATAATATTTGAGGACGTTGAAGTCTGAAAGGTTGGCCACTGTAGATAAGGTAAATTAAAAAAAAAAACTTTTTTATAACAACTTTTTTTTTTAATACACGACATCGTCAAAGGAATATCGGTGATGAAATATTACACGGTTCAAATAAATCGAACGGCCTTTCCATTTTAAATTACAATGTCATTAATTTATAAAACATTGTTCATTTATATGATGTGTTTTGTTGCCGATTCATTCATTACATAAAGCTGAAATATATATATATACTTTTTTTTTGTCAAGCCATTTTTTTAGATATGTGTTAATTGTTTTGTACAAAAAATAGAAATGATTGAAGATATTTGAATCGGTGCTCATTTAAACTAAAATAAAAAGATACGGTGTGGATAAATTTTTATGATCTTCCTAAAACTATTTAAATCAAATATAAATTTATACAAAATATAAACTATATTTATATTTATATTTACTATGTAACGATATTTATCTAAACAAAAAATTGATCCATAAAGCATTCATTGTAATATTGACGCTCCCTGATAGATTGCTCCCAGCTTCATAACCATCGTCCATCTTAACCTCTTTGCCTTCATGTCATGAGATCTTGATTGACCAGTTTTTGTAAGCAGTTCTGGTCATTCATTAGTACTGTACATTATGTTGAAAATGAGAAATGCTCTGCTTTCTAGCATTTCGATTTATAATTATTTATATAGCAAATTTTTATACTACTATAACAATTTTAAACAAAAACATACTTTTAGCAGGTGAAGGTGTTCCATTTCCTATCCTGTTATTCTTTGGCTTGGATAACTGATATATTGGAGATAAGAAAAATGTTGTAGTCAATGATTTAGCACCATTTTGCAAATCAACCTAAAATTATAAATTAAATGTTAAAAAAACAAACAAAAAACTTCTTAGTGAAATATTAAAATTTATGCTAAATAGTATCAGAAATTCAAGATATCAAGGCTTATTCTGTTGTAACACTAAATTAAATATGTATAAATATATCAGCCATAATTATGGAACAGAGATTACATCGTTTTCTTTGATTGAATTCAATCTGAGCTGGATATAATCTTCTGAATCCTCTTCCTCTTCTTCTTCATCACCAAGCCAGCTGACACCTTTCACTCCATCTAGACTTCTTAATGCGTCCTAACAATTAAAGGCAGTGAATTTATAATTTCATACTATTAAAATTATCTTTTTATGTATTTTCTTCTTATAAGAGAACTTATAAAAATACAATTTTTGCTGTTAGAATCTTTGAGAAAAAATTCGAAATACCTGGACCTAATCCTAAAAACCATGTCACAGTAGTATTGGTATAAAAAACACACAGGTGTTTAATAATTAATTAGTAAATATCTCTTAATAATTATTATTTTTTTAAAAGCATTAGTATAATTAAAATCAAATATTTTTTTATTATAGCTTTTGAATGGAGTTAAATCACAAAACCAATGGAATGTATTTCTAACTCTACTAAGGATAAATAACTTACTTCATATTTCGCTGTCAATTCTGGATTATCTTGCCCATTACCCTTTATCAGTGCATGATATTGATTTAAAATAGGCAAAACTGTTTTTATAGTGGAATTCAAATTCTCCTCATGTTTGGCTTTAAGCTTCACAATTTTTTCAAAGTGGTTGCATCGAATTTTATGTTCTTCTAATTCAACCTGATTATAACAGACATATTAGCCATAAATTCTGTTTAAAAAAAAAAAATCAATAGTAGACATTTATAAATTTACCATTCCTTTCTGATAATCAAAAATTAACTGTAACATATGCCGGATCTTTTCTTCTTTTTTTATTTCCTCTTCTAATTTCTCTATCTGTTTGTCATTTTGCTCTTGTAATGGCCTGTATTCTGCTATACGACCACAAATACTATCAGAACGAGCCTTTAACTGACTTATACTGGTAGTTAATCGATCTAGACACTATTTACAAAAAACATTAACATTAGTATACAACATACTTATAACCAATAATAAATTAATATATACTAATAATTCTGAAGAAACTAAAACTTCAAATAATATCTACATGCTATTATTTCTATTCAAATTAAAAGGAAATGTATATTGAATTAGGATTACATGCATTTTGTAATTTTGTGTAATATTTTTTAATAACAACAAAGAGCTCTGGGCATTTTTATGTCATTGTTATAACAGTAATTAAACGAATAACTGTATATATATTTTAATAATTAAAGATCATTAGTTTAATATCACGATAATTAATGTGTAGGCACCAACCGAAGATAAAGAGGTGAACCATGATTTCTACGATCAGTTGGAAAATATTGTGGACCAAGCTCGTATGCACAACATAAAATTAGTCATAGATGACTTTAATGCAAAGATAAGATGCGAATCCCAATTTAGGCCCATTGTCGGAGGCCAAAACCTTTACAAAAATAGCAATGACAATGGAGTGAGATGTATCAGTCTGGCAGTAGCTAAAGGTCTAGTCATCAACAGTATAATGTTTCTACACAAGGATATTCACAAGTACCCCTGGGTTAGCCCTAAAGGAGCAAAAAACCAAATTGACCATGTAATGGTAGAAAAGAAACATAGAAGCTCAATACAAGTTGTAAGAAGCTATTGTGGAGCAGACTGTGATTTGGATCACTCTCTGATTAAAATTAAATGTCAAAAATTGAAATGAAATCACACAACAGGGAATCGAGTGGAAAGAAGGAGGTATGAAGTCCATAATTTGAAAAATCCTGAAAACCAAATTCCAACTTGGGCGGAACAATAAATTCCAACCCTTGGATTCGGATAACCTCACGATGGACCAACACTGGGAGGACTAAAAGAAACAGCTCAGGAAGTAATCGGTATTTAGGAGAAATGAAAAACTAAGATATGATTCACAGAAGCATATGAAAAGGCAGCAGAGGAAAGAAGAAAAATGAAAGTCCTCTACCTACCTACAACTGATCAAGCTGCTCAGAACAAGTACACAGCTGCCACGAAAAAGGAAAAAAAAACTATAAGATCGGCAAAAATGGAAATTCCTGACAGGCAGGAGATATACTCGAATTCTGCGCATACATTATGAAAGAAAAGGTGGACATAAAGCGAGAAATACTCGAATGGGAGGAAAAGATGACATTCTGACGGCATCTAAAGAACGTATATTGAACATCTGGAAAGAACATTTCCAGGAACTTCTCAATCAAGGAGACCCCACGAACAATGAAGACATGGACCATACTGAGGATCTAGAACCAGAAGAGGTTGAAAAACCAGATATACTGGATGTAGAAATAGCTATCGAAAGGCTCAAAACAAAAAAGGTCCCAGGAATAGACAACCTACCATCAGAACTGTTTAAAGATGGAAGAAACGACTTAAGAGCCAAGCTACTACAGCTAATCCAGAAAATATGGGAAGAGGAAAGGATACCTGAGGCTTCGAATACGGGGCTAATCTGTCCTATCCTACAGAAAGGATCCATATGATTGTAGTAATCACAGAGGCACTCCTTCCGGTTGCTTACAAGATAATGACCAATATCCTACTAAACCGGATATATGTGTATTATGAGAATATAATAGGGGACCACCAGGCTGGATTCAGAAAAGGAAGGAACACACAAGACCAGATCTTCATCCTAAAACAAGTACTAAAAAAACGATGGGAAGTAGCTCAAATTTGTCGATTTTAAAGCAGCTTATGATTCCGTGGACAGGAGCAGTCTTTGGAAAATCAGATCTGAACTGGGAATTTCCGGTATGTTGGTGAGATTGAAAAAGGCGTGTACAAATGTGGAGTCCTAATACCAGGAGAAGTATCTGAAGCCTTAAAAGTTCAAACGGGCTTACGGCAGGAAGATGGACATCACCGATGATGTTCAACTTAACTCTGGAGAAGGTAAGTAATAAGAGCAACATCACAGAAAAATGGAAGGGTCCACGTCGGAATGAATCATAAAATCCTTGCATACGCAGATGATAGAGCTGTCCTTTGAAATAATCAAGACCCGCTACAACACTGATAAGAGCAATTCGGCCTACATAATGTGTGTAGATAAATGGAAAGAAATAGCCCAAGACAGGCAGAGATGGCAGCAGGCTTGTTAAGGCCGCAAAAGATCTACATGGTCTGTAATGTCAACAGGAAAAAAAAAATTAATAATATTTAAATATAAATATGGATTAAAAAAATGTCAAGAAGTTAAAATTAAATAAATAGATTTTAAACACATTCGTAGACTAAATAATACATACTGTGTACCCTCCCCTCTAAAAAAAGTTATAATAAAGAATTACATATATGTGTGCGTCAATACAACGTACAAGCAAATACGCATTTCTAGCTATAAAAGAAGATGCATTCCTAACAAAAAAAAAGAGACAATTCTATAACTGATTACTATTGTATATATATACATTAAACAGAATATCGTTATTACGATATTTAGTATTTTCTGCTATAAAAAGAAACTAGGCTCATTCGATGACAGGCAGGTTGCTGTCAGATCGGTGACAGCTGACAGTGACCTTGGCAGACAGCTGGTGGGGAGGTGCAGGTATATTCATTACAGTAAATAAGGGCCAAGTCTGGGCTATGAGCAGCTTCCTTCACCCTTGATAGATTTTCTTGGGACTTCGTACCACACTTACAATCCATTCCAACGACATTCATGACAATTTTAGATTCGAAAGGATGAGAAAAACCACATCAAAGGAGAGTTAAACATAGACCCAATGTTGCTCCGTCATAGTCTCAGGCCTAATCCGATATTAACTCTTTCTTATTGAACAACAATAACTTCCTTCAACTTAATTCTCTCAAATTGTTAACTTAATAACTTAATCTACTTAATAAGATAATCACCTGCAGTTTGGAAGAGGGGTCATGATGTGAAAGGGCTTGAACTTTTTGGCTGATACGCCAATTAGTAAGCTTTCCTTGACTCTGTAATAGCAATATCTCTTTATAAAGTTTTCTTCTATCTTCAAAAAGTGATTCTATTTTATTTTTCCAGTTACTTATGTCTGGAAAAGATAAACCTCCCTGAAAAGGATTAAATATTAACATATATAAAAAATGAAATATTAGTTAATTTTAAAATTAATTTTTTAGTGGATAGGATGAAACTATTACTAACAGACATGTTTTAAAATGCTATTTCAGAATATATAATACTGATATCATTAAAATGGTACAAAAAACAGTAAGATTAATGATTCAGAGAGAAGCAATATACTTTTTAAAATTAGATATACATATGTAACATATGATACAAATTTTAATATTCAACATGTACTAAATTTCCAAATTTGCATTTAATAATTAAACAATTCTCACCATTATTTTAATGATTCAGTAATCAAGTTGCAGCAACTTCTTGATAAATTCTGATAGAAGCTATGTGGTTTTTGTAATATAAGACTGAAACCTCTTTGTACATTCAATTATAATATAATCTATTACCTATGTTAATTGAATTAAGATAAGACAGATGGTGTATTTTGTAATGAATAATAAAGCACACCTACATTTGTTCTAAAAGTATTTTTATTAATTAATCATACGTAGTTCAGTTTAGATAGTCCTTACTTGAAATGAATCTTAACTGACTCGAAATTGTGTGTGTTCTGTTATGTCGAATACAATTATTGTATACCTGTTAAATATATACAATAACTGTATTCAACACAACAAATTGGAGGATCAAAGTCAAGTAGATACGAGTATTACAGTGAACTATTACCAGTGTTCTAAATAATTACTTTCTTTCCGGAAAGTCTTTGTCAATTTCTTTAGCACATTAAAGTAAAAGTATTCAATTCGAAGAAGAGGAAACAACTAAAATGAATAGTGAACAATTTCCACAATTTTTAGTGGCACAGCAGGCACAATTTCAAGCTTTTTTGATTAAAATAAATGCTATTCAATCACAATCTGAACACTTTATTTACAATTTTGAAAACTTCGATAAAACTAAAGAAAATGTTTCTCAGTTCCTAGAAATAAAAAAAACATAATTCAAATGAACCCATAAATATATACACAAATGACTTAAAAAAGATTGTTCCTAAATGTCATTTTTGTGAGAATGTGGGAAGTAAGTTTGAAATATTTTCACAGTTCATCAGCAGAGGCTTAAATGACCAATCAATGAGACAACACTTGCTGTTACTAAACCCAAAAACATTAAATGAAGCTAAATCTAAGAGGCATCTATTTTGGACAACAATATAATTTCGGGTGAAAACATGACAGACTCCTTGATTAGTAGATTTTCGAGGCCGATTAAATTTTCCTTCATTCCTCAAGCCAAAATAGAGCCCCCCCCCCCAAAATTAAATCCTGGATCCGCTAGTGCTCAATAGTATGCGTAAATCCTGAAAATGTCTTAGTCATCATACCTAAGCCTGTTAGGTCAGGAAGACTTTGTGTAGATTATAAAGTATTGATTAATCCTCAGCTGCTGACACCACACAACCCGATTCCAAAAGTTAATGACATTGTGAGTAATCTACAAGATTAGAAAATTTTCTTTACATTGAACCTATTTAAGGCACATTTACAGATTTCGGTAGATGAAGAGAATGCGAGAATAGAAATAATTATAACCCATACAGGAACATTTAAATTCAACTGTCTATCTTTTGGAATCAAGATTGCTCCATGTGAATTTCATTGCATCATGGACCAAATCCTAGCAGGTCTTCTAGACATTCTAGACAAGGTCTTCTAGACTCTTTCGATGATATAATCGTAAACAGTTTAACACTGAAAGAGTGTTATAATAGGCTTTCTGCTTGCATAGAAAGACTTCAAGCGTACAATATACATTTAAACCAAAAGAAGTGCCAATTTTTTAAACAAAAAATTAACTATATTAGATACATTATTGAAAAGAATGAAATTTCGAACCTTTAAAGGTAAAAGCAGTTCCAGAATCACACAAAACCAAGATGATGTCAATAGATTTTAAGGAATTGTCACATATTATTCAAGATTTATCTCAAATGTTTCAACAATCATTCATCTACTTTGATTACTGCTCCATAAGAAAAGAACTAGCTTGGTCATCAGTAATCAGTTTGTAAATTAGCTTTTAAAATACTAAAAGTAGAGATGGCGAATGAAAGAATTTTAGTGCCTTTCCATCCTGAATAACCTCTGGTTGTAGCTAGTAATGCTACAACCAGCATAGCTACAACTGGCATAGCTTCTCCAACTGGCATAGCAGGAGTAATATCTAATACAGTTGATGGCAAAGAAAAGCCTATCACATTCGTTTCAAGATCACTCTCAAAATCTGAAATAACTATAATCAGTTGGACAGAAAGGCATTGGTCATGGTGTTTTCTTTGAAAAAAAAAATTATTATTTCTTATTTGGTAAAACTATTGCTCTTCAAACAGATAATAAACGACTAAGCAGAATTTTCCAGGAAAGTACAAAACTAACGGCAATGACTTCCACTAGGTTGCTAAGATACACAGCTTGGCTTACCAATTCTGATCATAAGACCAAGCAACTCAGCAACCCATCAACCAGCAAACGACAATGCACATGCAAATTACTAATCAAGAACACCACTGAAAGAAGAAACTACTAAAATAAGAGAAGAAATAAATAAAGAAGTGGGTTTAATATCTAATAAAGCAATATGCAATATTTGAAACAATTCATTGGACTACAAAATGTTAGCACAGAAAAGAGCAAGAGATAAAGCGTTAGCTAAAATTAAAAGTGATTTATTAAACAAAGATTGTTGCAACTCAAAACTATATTTACAAAACAGAATAATTTTCAAGGGTTAGCAGATCTAAAACTCTCCGAGAAGTATTAAAATAATTACATCATACAAACATAGGTATAGTAAAAATGAAACAATTAGCAAAAAGATATGTGTCATATCAAAATCTAATATATGTGTATTGGAAAATTATTGATAAAAAAATCGAACAACCAGTAAAATCTAGCCCAGTATGTGCCATTCCAATAAAAGTTCCTGTTCATTGTTGGTAAGAGCCAACAAAAGAACTTCAGAAACAGACAGTTCATGTAGAGTACGCCGGACCGTACAAAAACCATTATCATTTAGTATTGGTGGATGCCAAATCAAGGTGGGTGGAGGTTCGTGACTCAGAAGAAGCTCCCACTTCTCAAACAACAATCAAATTGTTACAATACAAGTTTTATACTCATGGGTTTCCACGAGTCTTAGTCTCCGATAATGGGACTATTTTCAAAAGTGAGATCTTTACCAGATTTTGTGACAAGGCTGGAATTAAACAAAAATTTATATTTCCTGGACATCCAGCTAGGAATGGTTCGGCAGAAATGACTAAACTCTAAAAAAATTAATTTACGGCAATGTCGAAGTTGAACATGGCCCTACATACCAAAGTTCAGGAGATTCTTCGGGCACTACCGATCAACACCCTTAGCCTGTGGTAAGTCAACAGCAGAACTATATCTGAATAGGAAAATAAACATAAAATTAAATGTGCTTAAACTGCATAATGATTTTACAAACTTGGAAACAAAGGAAGACAAAAAAAATTTGACAGCTCCAGGTATGAGACAGGGTGCAAGCAAGATGACATCCGAATAATAAGCCTCCTGGGAGATTTGGCACCATAGTAGACTGACTTTCAGCATCTGCATAGATCATAGAGACGTCATACAGTTTATCTTTTTGATTATGTGTTAAATTAAGTCACGGAGAGTTGTTATGTTCATCGATTTATCTTGATATGATAGTATCATCCATGATTTTTAACACATGATATTGATAGTTCAATGTTGTTTAATTCATTATAATTTATCGATTGATGTTAAAGCTATGTCAAATAGAAATACTACAAAAGAAGAATCTTGGATTTCAATTACAAATTGCATATTGAACAGATATAAAATAACTGTAATTGACTTAACAGGTATGCTCTTAAAAAGCGAATTGCAGATTCTGGCACCACAAAGTTAAACCTCATTTTTCCAAGCTCCTCACTTTTCTCATTATATTACATGCGAAATCCCTTTGATCATCTACTACCTAAAGCCAGTGTGGTGTGAAACTCTACAGTAATAACTATACAGGTCATTTTTTGTATTTGACACAGCATTCGAGCGTGGGAAGTTCTGTGTAGAAATGTATAGTTGTCCACCACACAATGTTTCCTTCCTGTCTTATATGGCTGTGTGTATCGAATATCGATAATTCTAACAATGCAAACCCAAGTGATGCTAATGGCCCGCCTTATATACCAGTTGGAGACCCAAATTTAGTTTGGCATCAAATGTAATTGGAGTTGATTATTAAAGAAGGTTGAGGACTTAAATGTGTTCAGCATCTGTTTTTTGGTAAAAATAATTAGTTCTTTCTTTAGTGGTTAACTGAAAATGGCACCAATAGACCAACGTCACCTGCTACCTACAAATGTTTAAGAATCACATTTAGGAACTTTCCTACTATAAGAATCATTCCATTGCCTGCAAATGCTTGAGCATAAACTCTGGCGCCCTCAAGTATTCTTAAGGTGTTTATTACCAGACACCAGAGCAATGGTGAGATACAATTCCCTTGGAAAGTTGAAGTATTGAAGATTTTAAATATGTTATGGAAACAGAACTAAGATCAAAATTGAAAAAAAAAAAAAAAAAACTAAGCTAAAAATGATATTTTTTTAATTTAATCACCTAATGAATTCAACAGAAGGGGAAAATACCTGAATTTCAGTTAGTTTAGCATTTAATTCTTGAACCATCTTTTTATATTGTGGAATGGACAAAGATTCATTCATCACATTCTTGGAAATCTAAAAAAAAAAAAAATACATATATGTATTTATAATAAATAAAATTTAAAAAATACAATATTAAGTAATTAAATTGATTAATATTAAAGAAGCTGATGATCACTTTTGGTAATGTTTACTTCTAAAAAAGTAAAAACTCCTTATCACCAAAAAAAGACCATTGAATAGAACATTCTCAATGATGCCAATATGAAGATGTATACTATCGCCTCGAGATAGTTCAATTTATATTACATTAAAAACAACAATTTATTTTAATCAATAAACATCCTAGTAAAGTGTTATTTTCTTATGTTCTTATGTTATGTTATGTTTTAGGTTCTTTTCTTATGTTATGTTTCTTGATGTGGGAATGTATGGCGGCTTCAGGTGCAGGAAATCTTAACTTTATAGTGGGAATATTCACATGGTATAATGAATAAACATGTTTACATAGGAATTTTGGGAAAATTGGTTGACAAGAACAAACTTCAAGATAGACTGTAGACAGGAAACATGGATGTGGATGAACCCTGTTTGGAGGAAAACTTAGACATTGTTGACCAGGAGAATAATGAGGAGGAGGAACAAGAATGGATGTATAACGGTGAGGAAACTCACTTACTCCCGTTTCTATTACTTCAACTTTAACAGCATGAAAAAAAAAAAATATTGATTAACATTTTGACACTAAATTACATTTAAAGTTTACAATAGTTTTATAGTCAATTTTAAACTTCTGAAATTTTATTAAAATAAAAGTATAAAATAAATAATTTAGATGTGTTACTCTCAAAAGAGAAGTAAATGAGTTGCAGCAAAATTATAGTTTCACTCCACCTTAATTAGGCCAAGTACTATGATACTACCAAGAAAAATAAATGGTTGACTCACTTCTTGCACAGTTGGAGGTAAGGAGTCTGAGTATGATTTGTGGATTATATTTAGTAGGAATAAATGGAAATCTTAAAAGACAAACCAGGAAATCTAATATATTTTAAATAAACTTTTTATAAGTTAATATTTCTGGAAAACATACCTCAATATTTAAATGTTATTAACATTCAGAGATTCATAAATAGCAAAAAAGAAATAAGAAAAAATAATCCTTACTGTTGCTTTAATGCATTTAGTTCTAGTTGCATACTTTAACGTGTTATAAGTATCCTCAAATGAAGAGGAAGAAGGAGACACATTAGCAATCATAATAGTTCGACAATTTCCTCCAAGAGAATCTTTCAATATTCTGGTCAATTTAGAATCTCGGTATGGAACATGCTTTAACCCATCAGCAAGAGCATTAATACAGTTACCTGAAAAAAAAAAGTAGAAATAAATAAGTAAATAAATTTATCGGACTATCTTAAATTGTTTATAAGAGATAATAACAATTTATTGTAATGCTGCTCCACTGTGTTGAGTTGATAACTGACACAGCATACTAATCTATCTGGTTGATGATATTCAGCTTGATATACTTTGTACATAAAAATGTCATATGTTGTTTCCTTTCTTTTCTCATCCTCATTATTCTCAATTCTGTCATCCGGATCCATAAAGCAATGACCTGATTCAGTAGAGGTGATGGTGCAGGATTCCCAGTGAGTCCAAAATAATGGAATCCGCCATACTCTGTATCTCATTCTTTTCAACACCTAACTTTTCCAAAAACAATAGTAGTTGAAAGAGGAATTGCCCCTCTACTTCCAAACCAAAGTCTTCGTACCAAAAAATTTCTCTTCCCCAAATTCTTCTCTATATTTCCCTTTCAGGTACAGAATGCATTTTTATATATTTCCTCCTTCTCAATTTGTATTTTAAAATCTTGCTGCTCATCGTTCGTCTCATATCTAATTGTAGTATCAACTATAAGAGGCTCCTTTCCTTTTCTACTAAAGGCCAAGATGTCAACGAAGCTGAGCCTTTCGTATCTAGACAATCAACTTCTATGAAGCATCTATAATTTTTCATCACCAGGAATTTGTATAATCGATACTTTATATTAATGTGCCGGCAGGTGATGATGAGCATGTTATTTTGACATTTGTCCAATACATGAGCTGGGTTTTTCGACTATTGGCCACATTTGCAGCAGAGGGATCCAACATCTCCATTTGTCTGGCCTCCAGTCCAGTCTCTGAAACTCCTAGAAGAGGAGCATAGTTGACATATAGTTTCAAAGCATTTATCCACTTTGAGTCTGTAAGAATTTTCCTGTCACACATAATTTGTTAGCCATCGGCTTGACTTAAAATGGGGCACACATATTCCCTGCCACTTACATTTTCCCCAATCTTCAAATGACTTTTCTCTCAGGGACTGCCAAGCTTTCTTCACTGATATTGTAATATACCTTCAATATTATTTGCATCGAAACTTAACAGGTCAGCACACTGTCGAACTTCGTCCTCAAAATCAAAAAACACCAGAACAGAAACATTTGTCAGAAACGTAGAGAGTACTAAGAACATTCTAAGAAAGTGAGAAAAAAAAGAAAAGCCTTCAGGAAAAAGTTAAAAACACTGAAGAAGCAAGACTTAGGAATGAAACAAGGAAGTTCTTTCAGAACGTAAAGGCCACCAAAGTTGGTTCTGTTAATGAGTCAGATATGGTATAGAGATAAGACTGGAAAGCTGCTTGCTGTGTGTGAAGATGCCTGATTCCAACAACATCGAAAATATTTTGGAAAAGTTAAGGAACAATAAGTCACCAGGATCAGACAGGATCCCAGTATAGTTTCTCAGATAAGGGAGGAGTCACCTTTCAGAGGAAATGACAAAATTACTGGCAAATATTTGGGAAATAGAAAAACTAGCGAAAGAATGTAAAGAGTCCCTCATTTTCCCAATTTATAAGAGAAAAGGAGATGAAAGGGACTGCAGAAATAACAGAGGGGTCAGCTTACTTAATTCTGCTTATCAAGTATTCTCTATTGATCCGTATAATCGCAACATGCCTTACGTGGAGACAGCTTGAAGATTACCAGGGTGGTTTCAGGACAAATTGATCTACAATCGCTCAAATTTTTGCCCATAGACAGACTATGGAAAAACTGAGAGTATAAAACTCAATGTGGAAGCTCTTCATTGATTGTAAGGTGGCGTACGACATGTTGGTTAGAGAGGAGCTTTGTTATGCAATGTGTGAATTGAACATACCAGCAAAGCTGATTCGTTTAACTATGGCTTCCATGCAAAGCACTGTCAGTAGAGTTAAGGTGAAAGGAAGAATTGGCGACTCCTTTGCAGTTTGTTCGGGCCTAAGGCAAGGTGACTCATTAGTCCCACTCCTCTTTAATATTACTCTAGATACCATCAATTAATTAATATTAATAATAATAATTAATATTAATATCGGTGAATGAGATTTGGACACTTGTTATAATATTTTTGCAGGCGCCATAACTTGCTAGACCACCGACCACCGCGGCCCCTGGTAAGTGAAAGTAATAATTTATTCATTTTTATGGCACTGCCATAATTATCCATCGATCAGTTTCCCATTATTTGTTTCCCTTACCAACCCATAATTTCCTACAATCCACAGCCGTAATAATCCAAACTCCCCTTTACTCAATAACACTAGTTGCGGCATATTCCCTGCCTAAAATACTCATTTACGAATCCCAAATAATTTCCTTCCTGAATTCCTTAGGACACCACTTCCTCCTAGGTGCAGATCTAAATGCAAAACACCAACAATAGGGAGCCAGATCCACAAATTCCCGAGGGTGAACATTGCTATCTGCACTTAATTCCCATCGCAGCAACATCCTTTCACCTATTATTCCCACATACTGGCCAACAGATCCCAACCGCAATCCTGACCTTCTAGACTTTTTCCTACACAAAGGATCACTACACTATTCCATTTCAAGGTTTGATGATCTTTCCTCAGACCATATTCCTTTAGTCCTAACCGTTTCCACATCTCCCATTCCTAAATCATCCCCACCTTCTTTATCAGGGGTCCAGTTAACTGGAACCTTTTTCGTCACATACTGGAAGATAATATAGACCTCAGAGTTTCCTTAAAACACCTAAAGACCTCGACGATGCAATGCATTCCTTCACTACCCTGATCCAGCAAGCAGCTCGGACTGCATCCTCACCTGATCGTCCCAAAAAATACCATAACATAAATCCTTTACCTCAAGACCTACTGGACCTTATCTATAGCAAACGTTGCTCTAGGACCCTTTGGCAAAGAAACAGGCATCCTGATGACCGGAAATCGTATAATCATTATTCCAAACAGGTAAAAAAGAAACTGGATACCTTTAGAACCCAATCCTACAATTCCTACCTCTCCTCATTATCAGCTAGTGATAACTCCCTCTGGAATGTAACCAAAAAAATCCTAAAATTCCAGTCCATTTCCCACCCAATTCGCCGTGATGATGGTTCCTGGGCTTCGTCAGATGCGAATAGAGCTGAAGAGTTTGCTAAACATCTATCCTACACATTCACTCCTCATCCCGAACTCCATCCCACCCACACTGCTGAAGTTGAAGAATTCCTCTCTCTCTACCTCCAAAACCTGTTAACCCCTCTGAGGTCAAATTCCTTATAAACAAATTAAAACCCCGAAAATCCCCTAGATATGATCTCTTCACTTCACAAATCCTCAGACAACTTCCCAAAAAAGCTATCATATTCCTTACCTATCTATACAACTGCATCCTTGGCACAACCAACTTTCCTTTGGTGTGGAAACACTAGATAATCATCCTGTTTCCAAAACCAGGTAAACCTGTTAATAACACATCATCCTATAGACCGATAAGCTTGCTCCCGACCCTCTCAAAAATCCTTCTCAAACGCATCCTACCCATAATCGAATCCCACAACATCCCTTCTCATCAGTTTGGATTCCGCTCAAGACATTCCACTGTCCAACAAGGCCTTCGTGTTGTGGACCATATATCCTCTGAACTTGAAAACAAGCATTATTGGAATGGTGCCTTTCTGGATGTAGCGCAAGCTTTCAACCGCGGCACGATGGCTTGCTTTTCAAGCTCAAAACCCATTTACCCCAATCCTTATACCTACCTCTCAAGTCCGTTGTGGCACCAAATTCTCCACTTACTATCCAGTTGAGGCTGGTGTTCCACAAAGCAGTGTCTTGGACCCACTTCTCTACATCCTGTTCACCGCTGGCATCCCTTCAAGTCCTGATACCTTCCTAGCAACATTTGCTGATGACACTGCCATCCTATCCTCCCACTCAGATCCTCAAATAGCATCCCAAAAGCCTACAATCTCACCTCTCCTTGATTGAGCAGTGGTGCAGCAACTGGCACATCAAAATCAATGAATCAAAATGCAAACATATCACTTTCACCCTGAGACGCAGACCCTGTCCGCCAATCCTTTTTAATTCAATACCACTTCCCAACTCAGACACAGTATCAGTACTACTCAGACACAGTACAATCCTTTTTAATTCAATACCACTTCCCTACTCACACACACGTTGGCTTCCTTCTTGAAAAAAGACTAACTTGGAACCCACATACCAGACTTAAAAGACAAGAACTTAGCCGACGATATAGCCAGCTATATAGATAACCCTACGGACTTGAACTGTGGGGAACTGCTAAACATTTGAATATCAAATTCATCCAATCCTTCCAATCCAAAGTACTTAGAACAATAGTCAATGCCCCATATTATATCACAAATAAGAACTTACACTATGACCTTAACATCTCATTTGTCCTCGACATCATCCCATCCAGATTCTCAAACTTTCACCAGAACATCCATTATCCAAATCCTCTAGCTCAATCCCTATCCAGCTCCCTTCATCCCTACAATCCTCCTCGAAGGTTAAAACGGCAGTGACCCAGAGATCTCTTGTAAATATGCTTCTGGAGTCCTGGCAATAGCCAGCTTCTCCACTCATGTCCTGAGCTTCTGTGGCTCTAGTGCCATCTTTCAGTCTCCACTGGCTTCTAATACTAGTGATGCGGCTGGAAAAGTGGCACTGGGATCTCCTGGAGTCTTGCTTTGCCTTCCACATGTGGGAAAAAAGCCTGGCTCGGAGATTCCTGGGCGAATGTATATATTGTATATAGGTATGATTGTGTTTAGAAGTTTTTATTTTATTTTATTTGTTTTCCTTTTTATTTACTTTCTTCATCAGTATTATTTATTTACTTTCATATTTATATTTATTCCTCTATTATTTGTATATATTGTATGAATGAGAACTTTTAGCTCTAATACTTATAGCCCTCCAGCAGTGGCTGATTGTATTATTATTCAATAAATAGACTATTATTCAATTATTAAAAGCTCACCAAATGTAGCATACAAAAATAATTTGTCAATAAATAAATAATACCTATATTGTATACACTAAATATTTTTGGACTACCACTTACCAAGAGCTAGAAGGGATTTATTTATATTCGATCCTTCCTTAAAACGAATGCCTCTACATCCTGTTGCGGCACCTCTTTCTGATCCAGCTAAATCAATCATTGATAGCTTTGATATTTTCACTTGACCATTAGATACTATTCTAGCATGGACCTTTTAAAAAGAAAGGTAGATAACAAACATTATAATTTAAAAAAAAAAGCTTTATAACAATTTTTTTTAGAAATTAAGAATTTTTTACTTGAAAGACAGCATGAGATCTTGACGATTCTGCATTGCTATCTGTAGGATGCTGTGATCTATTCCGATTTCCAGCACTCAGTAAAGCAAATAATTCATCAGCATGATCAATTTGTTTAACTTTTAAGCCAGATACAGTAATACGACCACCAGTGGCATCTTCACGTAAGTGAAGAACAGCAGAACTGGGGTACAATAAATCCTTCACGTTTTCATTATATACCTGAAATAAATAAAGTGTTCGTCAATCCTATTATAAAGAAAATCATTAATCTATTGGTTAAAATATAATTTTTTACAATTTCATTTTAATAGTATTTGTTCTAGATTATATAAGTTTGAAAACCCAATAATTTGATACAGTTAAGTTTTTCAGATATAAAATTTTTTATTTTTTTTTATTTAGTAAACGCCTCTGCCGTTGGCTATAAGGCCATTCGGCTCCTGGCAGCCCAATATAACTCACATATCACTAGAGATTATTGTCACTAGACCGCATAATTTCACTGATATAAACGAAAATCCTAAATTCAAATTTTCTACTTTAAATGCATAGGTATGGAGTAACTGACTATTATTTCATGTCTTAGGAGAGTAAACATTATAAATTTAAAGTGATTGTAGCTTTCTATATATATATATAAGCCCTCTCTCTATATAAGTTTTCTACCAATATAGAATATCTACTTATCTTCATCTGGCCGCCAATTTGTATTCCAGCAGCTATATGCTAGCAGACATGCATTTTTTTCATCAGGCCTGCGGATATGATCAATTTATAAGGACAAATCTTAGTATGAAATAAGACACTTTTTTTGCCACGGGCTCCCAGACTATATTGGTGTAGTACAATAGTGGCACCTTAAAAAAAGGCCACTGACAACAATTAGCCCAGGGACAGATTAAAAATAAGGACGCTCCAAGGCCTAAAAGATTTTGGTGCCCCTCTTCATATAATTAGTGCATTTTTCATCAAGAAAATTATTATTAATTTTATAAATCATTAAATGAATAACAGAAGACTTATTTTTTTTATCCAGGGATTGCATTCCATATAAGCCCTATCCATACTAAAGAATGCAACCAAGAACCTTCAAAGGTTGATATGATATGTAAAAACACGCCCAACCCAAATTGAAATAAGAAAGCTATTTGATGCAGCATAATTTAAGGCAAGTAATTGAGACGTTGACAGTGAAAACATAAGTTTGTTAAAATGAAACTATGTGCCGTGGCCAGTGACACTGAAAAGAGAGTAACGTCTAGTACACCTTAGTTTAGTTCTTTGATGGCAAAGATAGTGCTGGTTTTAAATTAAGGGGATTTTGTAATGATAAGCTAGTGATTTTGGCGTGCCCTGTAAAACTTGAATTTTGGCACTTAGTACTTTTTCATTGCCAACGCCTCAATTAGTTCAATATAAATATTTAAAGAAGTAAATTTGATATTAATAATTATATAATAGAGAAAAATATTGAGATTATAAAATATAGAAAAAGTTTGGATCACAATATATAAATTCATACTGAGAAGCCACTTGGAACAGTGAAGCAACTACTCTCTTCCAGAACATATATCCCTTGAAGTGATGAAAAATTAAACAATTTTAAAATAATCACATATAATTGATAACGTATTCTGAAATTCACCTCAAGATATGATGCACCAAGAGTAACTTTCATATCAGCAGCTTGATCAATAAACTTCAAAAGCTCAACTATTGTTAGGTAAGCTATCCCTGGATGTTCTGGAGTTCCAAGCATGGTGAAGGTTTTTCCAGCTCCAGTAGCTCCATAAGCAAAAACTGTAATGAAACACCATTATAAATGGATTACACTATTTCTAAAATATATAGATAATGAATTTTAAAATTAGCTTTAATCTGTAGCTCAGTAAAACAAGAACCAACATCTAAAACTTTTAAATTTTAATAAACTGCATGATTTGGAGACTTAACACTGGGCAACAAACGACCAATTTTCGAATGTTTCCAGCACTTCATGAGTCAATTCTTACTAATTTTGGGTTAAGAAAAACGAATATGACAATGAAAAATTTTTCTTAGCTCTAGTTTCTGTGATATAAACTAAGTGGAAGTATTTCATATTAATGGGTTAAGAGAAAAAGATACATTTTAATTATATATGCTAACAACATTGAAAGTGTATTTGATTTTCAAAATGGTAGTTACATTTTAAGAGTTGTAAATTACTGGAAGAATATCTCGCAGATGGTGGAGTCTGAACAGATTATGTAGTGGCTTCATGAGATCGTCGTCTTTTAGCTTAACTCTTGTAAGGGAGTTCCAGAGCATCTCTACACAAATACCAACAGTGATCCGCAAGCATTGCTTCATTCCAATGGCCCTGATATCTTTGTTCCATAACAGAATAGTCCTGATGGGATCTTTCTCCATGTTCATCACTAACAGATCCACAACCAGGAGAGAAAAACTCTAGGTGGGAGTGGAGAAAATTGATTTTAAGGGACATGGTGCATCCAAGGTTATGGTACTTTTGCAGGAGCACTGTCACCAAATGCATGCAGTTGTCATATCTTTTGTTGACCAAAACTCCATGAACAACTCCCTTGAAGGCTTTCCAAGTTTCCTTTTCTTTCCCTTCCAAAACTTGGTCAAATGCAGGATCCTTCACAAATACTCGAATTGCGGCCTGACAAAAATGGCTTCCTAAACTTTTACATCACTTAATTTTGGATATTTCTCCCTCATTTACTTAAAGGGTCGTCCTTCTTGGTTCATACCTTTGTCAAAATCTTTTATCAAACCCAGCTTGATATGCAGAGGTGGAAGTAGAATATCTTTTGGTCCACAATAGGCTTGGCAACAACAGTCTCCTTTAATATAATGCAATTTCATATCTCTACTGTCCCACATACGTAAGAAGCAACAGTGTTAAGTGTACCCCAATTGCATTCCTGACAGTATGGCAATGACTTTTAGATCACCACAGATTTTCCATTTGTGTTCATGATATTTGAGTGAGTCCAAGAGGGCTGTTATATTTGCTTATTTCTCTTTTATGTGAACTGCATGACGAACAGGAATAGAAGAAAGAAGGTTGCCATTGTGAAGTAACACAGCTTTCAAACTAAGCTTAGAGGAATCTATGAATAGTCTCCATTCAGTTGGATCATGGTTCAAATTGAAAGATTTCATCAAGCAATTAATGTCGCCTTCCAATGACCTTGAGCATTGGAAGATCAGTAGCCTACCACTGAGCTACCCCACTCCAAAAATATCAAATAAGGTTTCAAAAAATAAATAGTTGATTAAACATAAATTCAACAAAGAAATGTATCATCAAATCATTTTCTTGAATATTTCTTTCAAAGAAATCTTTTTTCTCTGATATTTTGTATGGTATTCCAAGCAACAGTTTCAATATTAACCTGTTAACCAAGAAATAAAATTTTGTTCAGCTATCACAATGGGAACTCATTTCTTCATAGTTGTAAGTAATATCATCATACCTCAAGTAATAAAAGGAAATTATTTTTAATTTATTGATTTTATTTATTTCGAAAAAAATTGTATAACATATTATAAGAGAAAGAAAGAAAAAGATCTATTGTCATACCCAGTTAATAGGTTAAAAAGAAAAAAAGATACCTAACTCATTGAAGAAGTTGGAAAGGTAAAAAACAAAACTGGTGCGCACAACACACAATTTTCACTTACTGCTCAACTTTGAATAGAAATTATTTTCTGGCCATGTATGGCTATTATCAAATTTTTTAATTGCATTTTTAACCAAGCTAAAGCTGAAAGCATACAGCTAACAAATCATAAATAATATTAAAATAACAAAAGTCATATTTATTATACCACCGGTTGATTATGGGTTGTATGATCCGTTGAATATGGATTGTAGGACTATTAGTTATTAAACTGTTATTTTCCATAGTAAAGTTTACTAAAATACAGGCATCAGTAATAAAAACCCTACAAAATAAAAAAATAAGCAACAAAACCAATACAATATATCCCGAGAAAATCTTGGCACAGACAGACCAATGGCTAAAATGTGTTTTTCAAACTCAGGGGCCTCTATAGAACCATCAAAAACCGCATATCGGAAATTTGATCCAATTGCAATACTTTCTTTATCTAGTATATGTAGGAAAAGTAATAAATTAAAATAGAAAATAGAATATGCTGTATCATCGGTAATACTGGTTCGATTCCGATGATTTTGTTTTCTTTTGTTGGTAATTTAATTACCTTTCAAAAATTTTATTATAAATTTTACCATAGAATATATACTTAGCGATTTAGACCCCAAAACATTTTTCTTTTCTTTATAACTTTTTTTCCTGAATTTTCTTGGGAATTTAGTCCATATAAGAAAATTGAAAGGACAATTATTAGAACATTATAGGAAAGTTTCATCAAAATCGTTAGGGCCATTTTCGCGCTACAGTCTATAGAAAAACATGTTTTTCATTTATTGCGCAGCAGCTATTGCCCATGGATCATCCAATTTGTGTCACAGGCATCAGTAATCAAAACCCTACAAAATAAAAAAAGAAGGAACAAAATCGGTTCACTAGTTCCCAAGAAAATCTTGGCACAGACAGACAGACCAATGACTAAAAATGTATTGTTCGAGCTCAGGGAATCTGAAACGTATAGATCCGTCAAAAACCGCATATCGGAAATTTGACCTGATTGCAATATTTTCCTTACCGAGTATAGTAAGTAAAAAATTGTTAGTGACTTACATATCTTATTTTACTTTAGTATTAGGAGAGCAGGAGCTCAACATCAGCCCAGGTCTCTAGGCTCAATAGTGTTGCTCTCCTTTGGCGATTAATTTATAAATTATATAGCTATTCATTTAATTACGTATGTGTTGAGCTCCTGTTACCTACCTTCTGCACTTCTAATATAAAACAAAAATTTTACACTAAAAATTTAAATGGGAAATGGTACTTTTATCTGACCTAGGTGACAGAACAATAGAAAAGGGAATAGGATAGCTCAATGGTAGGGCACTGACCTTCCAATGCTTAAGGTCCTGGGTTCAAATCCCGGCTCATGGCAGAAAAATTATTTATTCCATTTCATCAGTCGTGGGGCGATCCTGGAATTGAGAGACCCTCCAGGGGCACACCCAGCCTCTATATAGTGGGTATCGTTAATTAAATAATTAATTAAGGGCGGAAATCTGATAGTTGAGCGTGATCTCAGCCAAATCACCTAGGTGCACAATCGTTGAGTAAGAAATAGTAGTCCCCCAAAATAGTACGGAACTCAAGACCCTTCATGGATTATAGTGGTGCAGGTTTTCATTTTTTTCCTTTTTTTTTTTTTAATATATGAATTTTTCGGGGTGGAAATTTTCTAATGATATATCACCTATCTTTGTTTTATATCAATTAAATAATATTTATATGTTAATTTTTTGCTTGATTTATTAGATATCTCACTAGAGATTCGTAGTAAGTAGAAAAGAAAGTACAATATAACGTACAATGAAAATATTAGAAATAAAAGGCTCAATTTATTTTTAGGCTTATATGAAGCTGGCCAAGTTAAATATATATTATGGTTACAAATTTGTCCGAACTATGAAATAGAACTGTGGTTTCGTTCAGTTTATTTTATGTTGATAACAAGTAATACAATCTGAATTATAGAATACATGTAATTTAAAGTTATAAAATTTGAGCAACAAGTAGTACAATTAATTGAACAGTTGTATAATTGGTAAAATGGGGGTTGGTCCGCTGTTAGGCTGACAGGGTGAACCCCCAAGTGTTTAAAAATATCTGAATTTATAAAAAAAAAAATAATTTGTAAACATAGCAAAATTATTAATATTACAGAGTTGAATGAGATGTATAATCTATTATAAAAAAATTTTTCATCAAAGTTTTGTTATAAGACGAGTATGCCATTGATCTGCACTTGTTATTCATTGACTACAAGCAGGCATTTGACAGCATCAAGAGATCAACTCTGTTAAGAATGGTAATGAAAAGTGGAGTGCCACATAAACTAATTAATTTAATACGCATAACCATGGAAAATGCATCATCCAAAGTTATTATTGGAAATAAAGTTGGTTGATTGTTCGAGGTACAGTATGACCAGGTTTCAGATACTGCTATTATGTGATAAAAATTATCAAGGAAGTGATTCTGAAATTCATCATAGTGTGCAGTAAGGGATTGTGCATTGATGTGACAGGAATTCAGAATATTAATCATGACTGGAGAGTTGGGAGGTCGAATTTAGGAAAAAGTGATCGAGGATGAATAACATTTTTTAAGCATAAAATTAAAAAAAAACAAATTTAGAAATATAAAAAAAACAATATAAACATAAAATAAACTTTGAGATAAAAAAAAAAGTTTTCAGTAGTGATCAATGTTAAATAAACCACCTGACCTTTGGAAATGACACTACTAAACTAATAACCTTTTTTACTCCCCTCCCCAAATATGTTACATATGTCACTTGAAAATAATCACCCGATAACATAAATACAATGTTAAAACATCAAAAACATAAGCACCAGGTCTTATTTTAAGTGATGAGGAATTCAGATAAATATTAATACCTACAAAACAACATAAAAGATTATAAATATTAACCTGAACAGTTGTATCCTTCAAATATAGATGATATAATATTTTTTGTAGAAGCTTCAAAAACTTCTTGGTTGGTAGATTCTTGATCAAATACTTGATCAAATTCAAAGTGAAGATTTTTATTAAGGCGACGTGTGATATCTCGACTTTTTTGTGGAACCCCTTTGAAATAAAATAATTCATCTTCCTCTTCAGGATCGAAAATAAGTGAAGATTTGTCCACAACATTCACAACTTTTCTAAAAACAAAGATCGTTATATAAGCAATCATAAATCTAATTAATCACCTAAAATACACATATTATGTAGTTTAGAACTGCAAAATCAGCAATACAGAATTGCAGTTTTGCTCCTGCTGCTCATTTATCTAATTTATAAAAAAAGGGGATAAAACATCAAAATGTCATTTAGACCACTAGAAGAAAACATTCAATATAATCTATTTCACATGGTGAAGTACTTCACAATTGCCATTAAAACATAAGTTGGATAGTTGTAAATACAATATTGGTATATTTTTTTTAACATACCTGCAGGCACAAGTTTTCTCCCTGTCATTAAAAGGTCTTACTCTTACAAAAACTTTCACTTGCAAGTGACTGGAATCAGGGCCTAAAGCAGAGGAAAATGATCTCTTCAAATTCATTTTCGGGTTCGGCGTAGAAGCTTTGTTCATTCTATTTAACATGATAACAGATACACGAATCGCAATATTGATGAAACAAACACAATCTCACATATCACAAAGTCAAGAACAGTATTAACAGGCCAAAAGTATAATTATTATAGTACTTTCACAAGGAAGTAACATTTATCAAAAAGCTGATTTAACAAATAAATGAAAACTCCAACATCCGTTACGACCTATGGCCGTTACATGAAAATACAAGCCGTTAAAACCGGCAAATTTAAAATGCTAGTTCTTTTGTCCGCCTTCAGAGGTCAGGAGAGTTCCTAAACTCAGCATAGAGATCATCGTAGGCTTTGGAAATCCATGATCATTAAAATCATCGATGCATCCATGAATGGAATTTAGTGGGTTTCTTTATTCAATAATTGAATTACAAGAGGCTCAATATTTACATAGGCTTCAAGGATTGATGGCTCCGCTAAATGTAACTCAGTATAACCTCTGCGTTGATATTTCCCTTTTTAAATTAATATTGAAGTATACATTTTCTATAAATACCTATTTAAAAAAAAGTACTACTATCTAAACGTGTTTACTTGTGCTTTTAAATTGAGTAAGGCACAAATCCCCTACAATTATAAAAGGTGACGGCCAGTTTCCAGAACGTCCCGAGCACGCTATTCCCAGATTCCCGACGAATATCGACCGTAGCCGTGTACTGACAACTATTTATTTCCGACCAGCTTAAATAAGTAATTAGAAGTATATTAAAATTCCAACCCACCTCCCTAGTGAAAAATTACGGATAAAATAAGTATATTAAAATTTAAATAAGCCCATTAGGTACAGAATTTGGGTTTTATCATGCTTGTTAACGCTTTAATTTGACACTATTCGTAAATAAAGTTGAACTTACATTTAAATGTATTTTCGGTGTTACTATCTTAAATAAGTATATAAGTATAGTAAGTCTACACTCTTACTTATATTTGGGCCTGTGCTGTTGGGATCCAAACATATCCACTGGAGCCAACACCAACAGCCTAAAAGGTGGCGTTGCTCTGGTAAGACAGTATTTCTGTGCAAAACATTGCTGACATGGGAAAAAAAATTTTGATCAGACGGCAACGGAATCGTCATCTAGATCACCTAGATCAGTAGCACTCAGTAGCACCAAGAAATCAAGGAAATCCTAGACGAAAAAAGAGATTTACACTTACCATGAGAAATTGTGCCATGCGCACAATACACAAACAAATTTTCAATGTAAGTATCTCCAACTCTTTCTCAATCATTAGTGATAAAAGTGGAAACAAAGACAGCGATAACTCGCTTAGAAACAATGTGCATTAAAGTCCTCCATCCATTGTGGTCAGTGATGTGACCAGTACCGTAAAGTCGGCGGAAGAATTGAAAGTTACTGCCTTTTGAAGTTTAAAAGACCCAGGATGGAATCCACATCTTTCCGGCAACTATTGAGACACACAGTGGTATCCCTGCCCACAGGCTAATCTACGGGGGGATTTCGGGCAAAAGCTCCTTCTCTCCCCAAAATGGTAAAATATAATGATGTTTTAAGAAGAAAAAAATTATCTCTAAAAGTATTATTGTGTGTAAACACATTTTATAGGACTTAAACACCATTCCAAATAGGTAGTTAGTTTTTTTGTTCTTCTTCCAAAGTAATAATCGTTATATATATTTAAAAAATAGCTTTTGGGATAAAATTAAATCCTGAATCCTTAAGTGTCCCTGCCTGTTTATTCAATAATCAATGTCTGTATTACACATGCTCGACGTTGAACGAGTCTAAAACCTAGAAGTTTGTAATCTATGACCTGGACATCGATCACGAAATATAATACATCAGAGTAGAAGTAGGACTACCTATGTGCGTCTGAAAGATGTCTTTGATATCCTCGAATTTGCTGAAGCAACAAGAATGGCAGGCAGAATGATCTACTCCTCATTCTCGTCACGGCAACTGCAGGAGTAACCTCAGAAGATATACTGAACCCTTGACTTATTAATCGTATTCGTTTTAGCGCGAAACCCAACGAGGGGAGACATGGTATTATTCAATACCATAGGTGCCAGCTGTTCGGACATACCTAAAAGCACTGTGAAAGAGCAGTGGTTTGTGGAAGATGCACCGACCCACACCCTATTACAGAATATCGATAGACTGCCCTAATAAAATGCGATTACTGCAACAAGGTGTACGTCGCTTCATTTAACGGCTGCTTGACTCTGAATGTGATACAAGAACGACTGGAAGAAGGCGGCCAGCTTGAGGTTGAAGTCTGTCCCAGCGCGTGTTAACCTCCAGGTGGCACGAGCACAAGGCCGACCAATTACCACCCAGATAAATACAATGGACTTAAGAACGAACAGACAGCGTGACTTACATCGTAAGAGTTAGACATTCTGACCCACCTTCCTGGCTGGAAAACCTCTTGAAAAGTGTTAAGACCCTCACAGACTCAACGAACAGACCAATCAATATTTTCATTGACATTGTGACAAAATAAACAGAACTTTAACAATACTAATTTTCAACACTGACCTGTTCATGCCTAAAATAACGGGATTTATTTTGATAACAGCCCAAATCTAACCCACCGTTTTGACCCTCACGGTTACACGGACTCTTAAGAGACGTCTACGCTGAAAATTGGTCCGTTGTTAGAGGCCAACCAACAGTTCTGGCAGGAATGGTCCTGATTTCTATAAGATGTGGAACCAAGTGGAGAAAATTCCTCCACCATTAAAAATCAGGGACACGAAGATCTATCACAAAACTCTTCAGGTCCTTCAAGCCAAACCCACAATAATCGCAATACTATACAGAAGACCCAGATCTTCTTTTCATGACTTCTTAACGAGTGTGAAAAACGAACAAACCATTGGGTGACCTAAACGTTAGCCACACTGTATGGAACAACATGCAGCCCAATAAAGCAGGGGGTATTATTTTGAAAACTCCGTACACAGTTTTACATCCCAACAATCATACTTTTAGACACAGGGCGAACGCTGCTTGTAATAAGTAAACTATTGATCTACTCACAAGGCAGCCGCATAGTTTCATTGACAGCATTGCGCTGGACTTTGCGACTTCGGACCATACACCTGTGCTGTATCGAATTGATGGTAAAGTTTCACCACCACCTTCGGACAAATATAAGTACGGTGAGGCTGATTGGGAAATGTTCAAAGCTGAGGTATATCATGAACTATCCACCGTTCCTATTCTCACCGCTGTTGAAATTGAAGAGTGGATCACAGCAGGCTGACTAAAGTGTCCCACGTATGGAAAAGTATTTGTGAAAATTATCTCAAAACCTACTGCTCTGAAATTATGTTAACTACCAGAGCAGACCGGCTTTCAGACCGTCCTCTGTCCAGATCACTATTTGGCGAAACTAAAGTATGAAGTGAGCAAGAATTCTGCCAAAAATTATGACATTCGACTCACTGTCTAATGGGCAAAGCACGGATTTTTATGCTGTAAGAACCCTGAAATATGCCATATAATATGCAGTAAAAACTCGTGGTCATCGTCAGAAAGCTCTAAAGCTTCAAACCTATTCTTAACGTCTTACTCGAATTGGGTTCTAATTGATGGATTTTTTAATTTTTCCAAATTAAAATTCTCAAAATAGAAACGGTTTTCTTTTCTCTTTTTGTTTTTTTTTATATTAAGTTTTTTTTTTGTCGAAGTTTAAGGATTACTAATTCATGATCCGACCTACATTCTGCTCCGCGATAAGACCGTACATTAATTATTCGCATGATCGATTTATTCTGTTACTCCAAGTTTTATTTTATTTTGTTATAATCTTGTTTTTCTTTTATTGTATATATGGTATGTTTGTATTTCATTCATCCTAAATACTCAATGCCCTTAATTGAGGCAAAATGTATTTTTTTCTAAATAAAAAAATTAAAAAAATTATACTGCTTTGCAATGTTGTATCAAGACATGATCGATTTGATTTCGTGTTTGCGAACCTAGTGATGTCCAAGTATATTTATGAATATCTTTATGTTTAAACGTCGTACTTTTAATTATCAGGTTTTTTGAGATGGCAATACACGGTGGGCCAGACCCCCTTATTGCAGCAAAATATGCAATAAAAAACATTAAAACTACAGTAAATAATCTCTAAATATGCTAAACTTACTAATTACTTGATTACTAATCTGCCAGTAATGTATTTAAATATACTGATGTTCCTACAAACAAGTTTTAAAATAAAAAAGAAATTAAGGAAGGATTAAAAATTACAATACTCTTATTTTTTTTTTTTTTTGTTTTGTTTTTTAATATCTAAACTAAAGAATGAAAATAACTAAACCTGGACTGAAAATAAGGTTATTATATACATATGTACATTAATAAATATACATTGTCCGACCGAAGACAGTGACGATGAAGTCAAAAGTGAATTTTACGATAAACTCGAATGGGTTTATGATAAACTACCGCGAAACTACATGAAAATAATTATAGGTGACGCGAACGCAAAGGTAGAAAGGGAAGAAGTTTATATTCCGACGATTGGTAAAGAAAGTTTGCACGAATATAGTAATGATAATGGGATCCGTCTGATAAAATTTGTAGTCTGTGGGCCAGACCCCCTTACCTTGCACCCCCCTCACATCCCTATAAATTGCATATCTTTGTGTTCCTTGTAACTATTTATTAAAAAAAAGCCAATGATTCCACAAAAAAAAGTGAACGCACTACCCCAAAATGGCGTCCAAAGATGGCGGATTGACGACTTTGACTTTAGTTAGTTTTTTGGTCACTGAGAAGCAGCATTTGGCTTAATTCCCTCATAATTGGTCTTTTATTAAAGCTGAATAGTCATAAAATAATAAAACATGAAGAAATATTAAAAAATAATTGGCTTAGGCTGTGAAAAACACCAGTAAAGTCAATTTTTTTAACAAACAAATTTTCAAGTTACAAATCAAGCGTCGTTTGTAATTAAACGGCCTACAATAACGCAAAATGTGCCGAAATAAAACATCTGGATAATATATTTCTCTTTCTAAAACGCTGATTATTTTTTTAAAAAATTTAAGCAGTTCCATAGAAAATGCACTTATGCGGCAGAAAAGCGGTACTGGCGTGGGTGCCTACAGGCCTCTACCACACCATTCAGTACACATAAATGGCTTAGTTATAGTGATATAATAACATTTTTGGTACATTATATTGGTTTTATTAACGAACAAATATTAATGCAATAATGTAACTGTAAAAAAAAATTAAAATTAAAAAAAAAATGTATTATAATTTTTTTTTTAA